GGAGGGAGGGAGGGAGGGAAGGAAGGAAGGAAGGAAGGAAGGAAGGAAGGAAGGAAGGAAGGAAGGAAGGAAGGAAGGAGAAAAAAGATATTCTTTACTCCATAACCTGCAAGGAAAAAACAGTTCTTCAAAAATAACTGTATGTTTTTGGGATGAAAGTTGTGGGCCCTGTTTTGAGTAGATGCTATTCATACAACACAGAATATATGTTAAAGGACAAAGTCCCTTTGGAATGAGCAGAAAACTTTCTGCAGGAAGTTTGGAACTCTCATGCACTTTTTACCACTGCCACCAAGACACACTATGTAGTAATTTATAGATTTAGAAAAATAAAGGGCAAACCTCTACAGAGGTTCCAACCTAGCAGAATGCTGCTGCCAAAATGAGAACTCACATGAGGCAGATGCAGATGCAGTGTGTATCACTCCAGTCTTGAAGGAGTTACACTGGCTCTCCTGTTAAAAAACAAAACAAAGCAACAAAAGAAAACAAAAACAAAAACAAAAGCTGGTTTTAAAACTGTTGTGATGGGCTGGAACAGAGAGATACCATTTGGAAATTGGTATTTACAGGAGTTACTACTGCCCTCCAATTTAGAAGCCTCTGACCATCACTAAAATTAGCCTAATTGGCCATAACAGAACAAGGGTATTGAAGTTAAGCCTAAGTTTTATTGTGTATTATTTACTCTTCTGGCACCCTCAGTCTGGAATACAAGCCAAGTCTGATCCTAAAAAGTTAAGTCGAAAGACATAAGTCTTACTTTATTTTCTTTAGCACATTTCAAGCTAACATGATAGAAACTGAATGCAGCTGGCAAACAGTGTTTAAAATTGAACTGTGGGTAGTGAAATAGACCAAGTAAGGGTACAAAAACAAGCAGAGCAGCTTCATCTTGCTTCCAAGTACCCATTTTAGCTAAGTCTACCTATACCTAACTACTAGATTAGTCATTATCAAGATTCTAGTTATCATTATCAAGATAACTAGAATCAACTGCATGCTACTAAAAATCTAACCAGATATCTAAATTTGGAAGGGAGGGAAATTTTTAAATTTTGATTCTGTCAGTGGAAATCTGCCCTTTGTAAGCCAGTATAGTAATCTACAAAGATTTTTTTGTTTTGTTTTGTTTTGAGATGAAGTTTCACTCTTGTTGCCCAGGCTGGAGTGCAGTGGTGCCATCTTGGCTCACCACAACCTCCACCTCCCAGGTTCAAGCGATTCTCCTGCCTCAGCCTCCCAAGTAGCTGGGATTACAGGCATGCACCACCATGCCTGGCTAATTCTGTATTTTTAGTAGAGATGGGATTTCTCCGTATTTGTCAGGCTGGTCTTGAACTCCCAATCTCAGGTGATCTGCCCACCTTGGCCTCCCAAAGAGCTGGGACTACAGGCATGAGCCATTGCGCCCAACAGTACTCTACAAAGTTAAAAGAAACTACCTAGTTTAGTAACATAACTGAGTTGAAGATACATAATCCATTAAATATACTGACACTTTAAAGATACGCATTATGTTTAACTTTATAGGGAGTCATTTTCCCTAGAGGTATTTAGGTTTTTGAAGACATGTCACTGGGTTCCTTTAACTCTTGGATTTTTGGGGTACTCAACCGAAGAGCAGAAATTACCAGATGTAATGTCTAAAAGCATTACAGCACTACAACAGTCACAATGAAAACCAAAAATGCAATCCAACCACCCAAGAATTATTTGTTTTTATGTTATAAGTATGATCAACATCAACATGCTCATCTATTTAGTTGTAGGCTATGTGATGTTGGTTCTCTAGCCCTCTGACTAGAAATGGTGATAATGCACATTTTTCACTAAGAAAATTTTAAATAGGATCTTTCCAATTCTCTTATAAACAAATACCAGAGGACTTTTTTCCATTTTCCAAAACTATATGAAAATCCTAACACATTAGAGCCAGGCCAAAATTCTATCTCTAACCTAAGAGATCACAAATGACCTAAAAAAGATATTTTCATATCTTTCTAAATTTTCAAAGCAAATTTCATAAAATGATCTCAATTTTAATTTACTTAAAAGAAAAAAGCTAAATATGGCAATAATTTTAGTAATATAAAGTAAAACACACTCCCAAATGACAAGATGAGTAAATTAGTAAAATAAGTAGAGTTTGAGACTGCCAATTTCAGTTTACCACAAGCAAATGCAAAATTAAATGGTAATTATTTGTTCAAAAAATATTAAGAATATTGGAATATTTTTAAATGAAAAAAATTACCTAATTCAAAAAATATTCCATCTGACAATCCGTATACTTACAAAGATCTTGTATTTTCTGCACTGTTTTCAATTTAAGACAGAAAAACTGAAAATTATTGAGATAACTTTTAAAAATCATCTTTAACCGAAGGAGCTGCTTGTAATACAAAAACAGAAGTAGCTAATATATATATATTTTTTTCAAAAAATGAAAACAGATCACAGCACTCAAATGTCTGTACTAAAGTTGGAGGACTTTAACAAACATTTGGATACCTACTATGTAGCAGGTAGTAGAAGCTGAGAAGAAAAAAAAAAAAACACAAAATAATGTATGATCCTGGGCCTTGAAGGAACTCATAGTTCATGGTATACTACAGGGATATACATTTAGATATTTATAATAAGTTTTAGGAGATCAATAACACAGTGTGACTGGGAAAGTATAGAGGGGCAAAATGGGGGTCAATCAATCCAGCCCAGGAAGTCTTAAAAACTATGCATGAGGGCCGGGTGCGGTGGCTCACGCCTGTAATCCCAGCACTTTGGGAGGCTGAGGTGGGTGGATCACGAGGTCAAGAGATTGAGACCATCCTGGTCAACATGGTGAAACCCTGTCTCTACTAAAACTACAAAAAATTAGCTGGGCATGGTAGCGCGTGCCTGTAATCCCAGCTACTGAGGAGGCTGAGGCAGAATTGCCTGAACCCGGGAGGCGGAGGTTGCAGTGAGCCGAGATCGCGCCATTGCACTCCAGCCTGGGTAACAAGAACAAAACTCCATCTCAAAAAAAAAAAAAAAAAAAAAAAAAAAACTATACATGATTGGCCAGGCACAGTGGCTCATGCCTGTAATCCCAGCACTTTGGGAGGCAGAGGCGGGCAGATCACGAGGTCAGGAGATCAAGACCATCCTGGTCGACATGGTGAAAGCCCATCTCTACCAAAATCACAAAAAAAATTAGCCAGACGTAGTGGCACGCACCTGTAGTCCCAGCTACTCAGGAGGCTGAGGCAGGGGAATTACCTGAACGCAGGCGACAGAGGATGCCATGAGCCGAGATCATGCCACTGCACTACAGCCTGGGCAACGGAGCAAGACTCCCTCTCAAAAAAGAAAAACTATGCATGATTTATGTACAATTTACTCAGATGTATACCGATAACTCACATTTATAACCAATTTCTCAATGTACCATGAAGTTTACCTGACAACTCCCTGAAATTCAGATTCAGCTAATACGTTACAAACATCTATGTCAAGATTAGGCAAGTGAATTAATGTGTGAAGTGGGATACGTGAGGGTGTACATGTTGTCTAGAGGAAGAAGTAGCTACTCAAGTGTAGTTGACTTCCCCGTGGGAGTAGGAGCCAAATGTTGCCAATTGTGTGGTAACAGCCAACCTAGACTTTTACCTGTAATCTCTCAATGTTATAATACTGACCCAATTAAACAAACAGAAACTCTTTCAGCCAAACTATGGTCTGTGGTCTGGGTTGGGTCCATGGGACAACAGTGTGCTCCTCTAGCCTATACTTTAGGTCATATACTTCCACATACACTATCCCATTTAATTGAAATGTTTCACTATCTTCTTCAAAGAGTCTTAAGGAAATTGAATTTAGATATTTAATGAGTTGGAAATCTAGATGGAAATAAATTCATTCTTTAATAACAAAGTATTCTGAATAATGTTGTCAGTCTATTCATCCCAAGGAAAAAACTGAGGAAGTAAATTAAAAATAGAAAATAAAAAACCTCTATGTGGTCACTTGATGTGGACCCCTACAATCGTCTGATTTTTTCACTTGATTATCAAAACCTAACATATGTTCCCAATGACAGAATCGCAACGTCCTCATGATCTGCTCAGGTAACCAACTACCGTATTACTGTCTTATTCATAAGGTTTAATCTAAATCTTTGCTACACAATTTGATTCTATTACCACTTATACTTTCCTCACTGGCCAATATCCACGATAAAACATCCAGAAAATGTGTAAGCAGAAAGGAGATAATGAATCAAAGGTAGCTATTATGTTAGAACCATGTTGAAAACAAGTTTAGTCATGTTGAAAATAGCCTTTGGCCGGGCACAGTGGCTCACGCCTGTAACCCCAGCATTTTAGGAGGCTGAGGCAGGCTCTGGATCGCCTGGGCTCAGGAGTTCGAGACCAGCCTGGGCAACATCGTGAAACCCCATCTCTACTAAAACACAAAAAATCAGCTGGGCATGGTGGTGCACATCTGTACTTCCAGCTACTCGGGAAGCTGAGCCAGGAGAATTGCTTGAACCTGGGAGGCTGAGGGTGCAGTAGTCAAGATTGTGCCACTGCACTCCAGCTTGGGTGACAGAGCAAGACTCTATTTCCAAAGAAACAAAAAAGAAAGAGGAAAAAAGAAAATACCCTGGGGATCTGGGAGCAAAAAATCCATCTTAGCAACTTTACTGATGCAACTAATATTATTGCATGACATTTATTCACACACACAAAATCTGGCTTACATTTGAATGTTTTTATAATTGTCAATTGAAAGTAAAGATCATAAACACTGGTAATTGATTCTTTGTATCATTTACCATGTAATGGAGATGAAATGGGTTTTATTAAGGAATGTTTTAAATTTCCTAATCTAGAAACAAACCACGTATGATCACAATTCAGAGCGATTAATTTAATATCAGTGAAAAGTTTAAATGGGATACAGATTTGACATAAAGGGAATCAAAGCTTGGAAACCAAGTGTAGACTCATATTAAAAAGTTCCTAAAAAGTAATGTAATATACACCTAAAATATGCCATATATTTTATATGTAATATATGTCTAAAAATAATAGTATTGAGGGTGTTTATCTGAACGAATACAAAGGACTTTCATCTACAAGCAAGATAATGCATTGGAGTATTATTTATTTCCTAACATGGAGGGACCACCTCAAAAGCAACTCCTCACTGTAGAAATGGTACTTCATTTCCTGAGCAAGGTAGTATAAAAAATTCTGAAGTTGGAAAAAAAAAAAAAAAAAAGAATAGCAGCTAAAATAACAAGGACTATAATATCTCAAATGAAAATGAAAAGATTAAAGGACCTTACCATTTAAATGCTCTTTAAAAAAAGAACACTTTATTGGTATTTTTTTTAGTTTCTGCCACCTGATTTTTAAATTTAATATTATTAAGGATATTTTTACTCATACACACAAAAGTAGAG